AGAGGTGGTGGGGCCTGAGGAGAGAGAGCGAGGCTTGTTTAAGGTATTCCTCAGGTGGCTGGTCGCCCCAGCTTTATAGAAGTACAGTAATTGCCTATTATTTTCAATAATAGATGAAGGGAAACGGAAGCAGGAAAATCCAAAGAACTAAACATAACCCAAATTCATGTGATACAAACCAGGCAAGTCAAGGTTGAACGAAGACTGTTTCCCATTTAACATTACCCGCCTGCCTCTCCTCCATGCGGGTTTCTACTGCCCCAAGAACACCCTTCCCACGGACGCCAAAACTTACAACTATTCCATATCTAACATACTCAATATCCTTAGTATTTTATCTCTAACTTATGCCTTTCCAGGTCAAACTAATAAGGACGTGTTTAGAATTACGACACTGGCTTTAAGGTATTTACTGGAGAGACTTGTATAAGAGACTAAGGGCGGATCAGTTGAGTATATGTACCCCAGCTATTTCCCAAAGAGTAACCATCGTAACCTCTTAATAGTGCCAGGGTTAATCTGAGATGTTGCAGTATGATCCTAGCAGGGCTTTTACCTAACAATACATACATACATACACACAAACATACACATACACACATATATATATTAAGAATTCTCGTAACGAGGATGGTTTGTTCAGGGCCCTTATGGAATTTGTTTATAGCAGAAGTTGCCAACACAACAACTACACCCTGAGTTAACGAGCTGCATGACCCAGTGTTTAAGGTGTGTAGAAGCTGGTCGCCAACACAACAACCACACCCTGAGTTAACGAGCTGCATGACCCAGTGTTTAAGTGTGTAGGAGCTGTCGCCAACACAACATCCACACTTGTGTTTAACCAGCTGCATGACCCAGTGTTTGATGAATAGTCCGAGAAGACTGGACAGCTCCAATTGCACTGTCTTAACTATTACCCCGGAACACGATCCGCAAATCGATTAATATACAGGTCTCCAATTGCTGGTAGACAGAGGCAATGGCGTAAAGAAACTTGGTCCATAGTTTCACCATGCCCGGATCGAACCGGTCCGGTTGAGCAGCATGCTCTACACAGGTCGCTACATAAGATACATACACACACCTGACGCAAGACCAACACACACTACACCTAACGCACGACCAACACACACACACACACCAAACACACACACAACACACACCTGATGCACGACCAACACACACACACCTGACACATGACCAACACACACACACACACACACAGCTGAAGCACAAATCAACACATACTCCTCACGCACGACCAACACACACACACACACCTGATGCGCCAACACATATACACACCTGACGATGACCAACATGTATGCACCTGACGCACACCAATATACACACACCTGACGCACGACCAACATATACACACCTGACGCACGACCAACTCACACACCTGACGCACGACCAACACACACCTGACGCAAACTTGTGGATCTCTCCATGGCCTCAAAACAGTGAACATTTCAAACTCAGGGTCTAACAAAGAGCACACTGTTAATCAATCTGATCTAGTCAAAGAACCCTTAAACTGTAATTAGGAAAGAACTTATTGATGAGTTTGACGCAAGTAGACAAGTGCAAACAGGCACTAGTGATGGGGTTGTCAGACCAGCAGCTTACCTCAAAATGTCCAGACTCTGACATTAGGGGGCCAAGGGTACCCTCGCAGCTGCTCAAGGGGTTACAAATCAACCAGCATCTCCATGTCACACGGTCCCTGGGGCAAATATGTAAGAGACACCCATTCAGAAGAAGCCAACTTAGACCCCCCAATCTACACAAAAACCTACAGTACATCTCCAGATATATCCAGACCTGACCTCACATTAGCAAGGTCAAATGGCACCTCACGCCACCAAGGAGCCACAAACAACCAGCATCCCTCCCATGTCACAGGCCCCAACAAATATGTGTAAGAGACACCTAGTCAGTATATATATATATATATATATATATATATATATATATATATATATATATATATATATATATATATATATATATATATATATAAAACAACTTTAGTTTCAGAAAAGTCCAGACCTGACCTTACATTAACGAGGAGGTCAATGTAAGGAGACCTTCTGGATCAGCCCAACCTGACGCCTGTCCTAAATATATAGGATGTCTTAGCCCTCAGGGGAGCTAGGAGAGACAGAGTCGGGGAGAGACAGACAGTCTCTGCTTACGGAGAGAGAGTCACGCAAGATTTCTCCTCGATTTCCTCCTGCCCAGCTGAGCAGTCTCACAGAGACAACCCAGGACCACCTGCTAGGGCTTTCCCAGGTCAGGAGTTTTTGCAGAGTCGGATGAGTTACTTACGTGGAAGTGTATTCATTTCATGTTCGTGTCCGAGAATCAGTGTCAGTGCATGATGTCCTAGTAAGTAAATATAATGTCCTAGTAATCTCTGATAGGAAGTGTTATTAATGTGTCCATGTCATGTTCGTAATAATAAAGAGTTGTAACGAAGTGGTGTTGAGAAGTCGTCCAAAAACGTAATAGATGTGTGTTGACGAAGATAAGATAAGTGTATTGACAGAGTAAATAACCAACACGGCCACGCTACCAAACCTTTCTTTACTTTCAACTAAATATTTTCTATGCTTTCTACGCTTTAAAACGCCTCATTGTAAGTCGATCCATTGTTTACCATGATGAGATGTACTAGTGAAACATGGGAGGAAGTAACAAGATCACTAAATCACAAGATGTTGTAATCCTAGACTGATGTTAGGAATATATTTTGCAGTTCTCGAGCAGATGAACAAGACTATCAGAAGTGTGTGGCCAATATATGGCCACACACTTGAACATCTGTCCTCGATGTGTGAAGATAGAACCTTTAGGGACAGGTCCAAGCACACTGTGTGAAATGGCACAACACTTCATCTCTAATGGCAAGATAGCTGACATATTAAGATTGTATCCACTTTTTGGCACTTACTAGATGAATCAGTTCTCATGTACAGAACCAAAACAATGTGTTTGAATACTCTACGCAAATGTAACAATAGACATATCGTCACACCTGCAGCCAGACATACTGCCTCACACTCCTGCAGCCAGACATACTGCCTCACACTCCTGCAGCCAGGCATACTGCCTCACACCCTGCAGCCAGATACTGCCTCACACTCCTGCAATCACGCTGGTTGTGAAAAAGTTTCTTTATGTATAGAACAAATAAAGAATTTATTTGAAATACTAAATTCAATGCCAGTAATATCTTGACCACGGGTTAGTTACACTGACCCTTTGTGAACTACTCGTAATCCTTTGCCATGAGTAGGCAGAAACATGGATGCACGACCATACACCACACCTGACGCACGACCAACACACAAACATATGACGCTATGACCAACACGCACCGACGCACGAGCCAATACATGACGCACGACCAGCACACACCTGACGCACGACCAGCACACATATGGACGCACGACCAGCACACACACACATGACGCACGACCAACACACACACACAACACACATGACGCACGACCAACATACACATATTGTGACGCACGACCAAACATGACTTGACACGTAACGAACAACAACACACACACTGCCAGATGCACACCAACATACATACACACACATGGCCGACCAACACACATGACGCACGACTCAAAACACAACTTGACGTAATGACCAAAGTACACACAAGGATGCATGACCAACACACACACTTGACGCACGACCAACACACACACCTGACGCACGACCAACAAGGACAACGTAATGACCAATACACACCTGACGTACGACCAATACACACCTGACGCATGACCAACACACACATACGAAGCACGACCAACACACACCTTGACGCACGACCAGCACAAACCTGACGCACGACCAACACACACACACCTTGACTCACGATCACAACACACACATGACGCACGACCAACACTCACACACCTGACGCATGACCAACACACATGACGGCTGACCAACACACACACATGACGCACGACCAACACACACATGAGGCACGACCACACCTGACGCACGACCAACACACACACACCTGACTCACGATCAACACACACCTGACGCACGACCAACACACACCTGACGCACTGACCAACACACACACGACGCACGACCAACACCCACCTGACGCACGACCAACACATACACACACTTGACGCATGACCAACACACCTGACGCACTACAAATATACACACACACCTGACGCACGACCAACACACACACACACCTGACGTACGACCAACACACACAAACATTTGACGCATGACCAACACACCTGACGCACTACCACACACACACCTGACGCAATGACCAACACACACACACACACACCTGACGCACGACCAACACACACACACACCTGATGCACGACCAATACACACACACACACACCTGATGCACGACCAATACACACACACCTAACGCACAACCAATACACACACACCTGACGCATTGGATGGTTGTACCGTGTAGAGTCGTAGAGCGATCGAAGCACTGAGTCACTATATCTATCCCCTACCTGTTATAAGGCTGGACTGGACCTAAACGACTAGTCACTCTCGTCAACACAAACTCCCGCATCAGTTGCCAGTTCTCACCAGATATTGTCATACACACACGACCATCCAAATTATTTCTTTTTATCATATAACTATTACCCATAATCACTAAGCTATATATATAGAGAGAGATGGGTGTAAATATAATAAAAATAATCATATCGCTATATCAAATGATTCTTGACTATTTTAAACGAGAAAATTAGGGTACAATAGGTGGTGGTAACTCATGTTAATATAATTTGGTCAGCTAGTTGCTTATGTCAGCAATCACCACGACGTATCGCAGCAGTTCTTATATAATGTTTTATATGACGGTGAAGAAAGAAATTGAAGAGAAACGGATAATACAAACATAAAAAGTTTTATATAGTTCTTTATGGTTTTTAAGTGAAGGTAAAGAACGAAATGTTATAGAAACGGTTTATGTTTAGGCGAAGAGTTTGAAATGGCACGAAGATATGTTAAAAGAAAGTATGGTGACGTACACACTATTAAAGTCGCTTACAATGGTGCCCTGTTCACCTAGCAGTAAGTAGGTACCTGTTGTAAATCGAAAGGTTGCGAATTCGTATTCAGGGAAAGTTGTTGGAGCTTCTAAACTTGGAACTAACACAATCCGGAGGAGTGGTGACCCGAGGATCACACACCTAACGCAGACAAAAATCCAAATACGTGCCCTATGCGCTAACCAAATAAACGCAGTCATGTAAAGCCACGGCACTATCTCTCCCACTACAATTCCCTTCCTAACCTCCTGCTCCTTCCGCTGTCATCTTCCCTGCTCTGCTTTTCGCTACCAACAACTTTTGGAGCTTCTAAACTTAGAACTTGGAAACTGTTACCAGTGTTATATTGTAGATCAATAACTAGACGCATTATAGATATATAAACAAATAGATACAGAGATAAACATTTCTATATTTCCATATATATATAGAGATAAACATATAGATTTACAGATACACAGATATTCATTCAGTAAATCACATAAGAGCCCGATTAAGCGTGTTACAGGGGGGCGTAAGCGTAACCAGACCAAAGTAGGGCCACCAGACTGGTGCCTGCACTTCGGCACCTCAGCTACCCAGAGAGATTAGAACGCCTGCAACTGCCTAGCTTATACTACAAACAGGCAAGGGGTGACCTAATTGATATATATAAACATCTCAAAGGACACAACTCAGTCGAGTGCCCAAACCTGGAGCTGGCAGACGCACACTCCACAAGGGGTTACAACTCAAGGTTGAAGAAGCCACAAGTCCAGAAAAAAGTGAGGGCTTACTTTTTCGGAGAGAGTTGTGAACTCTTGGAACAACCTGGCAGTATTGTGACGGCACCAAGTGTGAGCTCTTTCAAGGTCACACTTGACCAACACTATAGTAGGTTTAGATGCATTCTGGAGTCAGTACATGCCCAGTACTTGCCAACAGTATGTAACAGAGTCAGTACATGCCAGGTACTTGCCAACAGTGAGTAACAGAGCCAGTACATGGCCAGTACTTGTCAACAGTGTGTAACAGAGCCAGTACATGCCAGGTACAGTACTTGCCAACAGTGTGTAACAGAGCCAGTACATGCCCAGTACTTGTCAACAGTGTGTAACAGAGCCAGTACATGCCCAGTAATGTCAACAGTGTGCAACAGAGCCAGTACATGTCCGCCCAAGCAGCTTGCGAGCCGGTCGGTAATCGGAAAAAATTACAACATTTTCATACGATGAGAAAATGGCACAACAAATTACACTTCGAGTTCACAACCACAAATGAGCTAACGAGCCTATATTTGAAACTATCCAGCGTATTTGAGTTAAATATGGTGTTTGATAACTTGTTATATCATCTTTGTTTAGCCCTGACTGCCATTTATACACCTCGATCGTATCGCCCCTCACTCTACGTCTCTCGAGGGAGTGCAAATTAAGATGCTTTATTTAACTTGTCTCTGTACTCAAGGTTCCTAATGCCCGGGATTAGTCTTGTCATTCTCCTCATGAATTCTTTCTAGGGATTCTATATTCATTCTGTAGTACGGTGACCAGAACTGAACTGCGTAATCCAACTGAGGTCTCACAAGAGCTAGATATAGTTTTAGGATGACCTCTCTAGTCTTGTAACCTCTCTCGTCTTTTATGAACCCAAGTACTTTATTAGCCTTGTTTCGAGCAAATACACATTTTTTACTAGGTTTACGATCCCTACTTATCATTACTCCTAAATCTTTCTCACAGTCGGATTTCTCTATAACAACGTTGTTCATCTGGTATCTGTTTACATCTCCTATACTGAGTACTTTACATTTGTCTACATTAAATTTCATCTACCATTTTCAGACCATTCTAAAAATTTAATTAGATTTTCCTGTAGTTTTGCTACAACATTCGTTGGAAACCGTAAACAATAATATTTAATGTGGCATTTTCTATATTGTAATTCATTTATGTAATAGTTTTCGCTAACATACGGTAGAATTTTTTAGTTAAAGGTAATAAATGTTTTATGTTATGACGTTGATGTAACACTAAGTAGGTTTCAGTAACAAACGTAATAAAATTTTAGCGAAAACATGTAAAAAAAAATTGTGCCATTTTTTCCTAGTCTGATGATTATGCTTTTTTTTCCAGTGCCATATTTTCCTATTGCCATTTTTTCTACATTCGAGTCAGTCAGTGGCGAAGAGGATAAAAGAAAAAGTGAAAAAGGTGGTGTGTCAGGCAGTGGGGGGCGGGAAGAGCGGTAAATGGCGCAGGTAGGGAACAAATACAGCTGGGGGGGGGAGGGGGTCCATTGAGGGCCCTCTTTACTGTTGGTATGACCCACGTGTGTCCTTGGCAGCAGAGGGGGAGAGGGAGGAGACTGGTGGTGATATGTTGTCTGGACGTCTTGTCAGGTAACTGTTTTCTTGTTTCTTCGTCTTTTTTTCTTGGTGTGTCTTGTTTCTGATAGGCGGGCTGCTATGGGTCGTGTGCTTGTGATAATGGGGATGAGGATCTCCTCTTCCTCTTCTTTACTTGGGCTGTCCACCCGTGACCGTCTGGGTTCTGATCTTCGTGCCCTTCTTGCTCGTATAAATGGAAGAGGTCGGAGCGGAAGATTTTGATTATTAGTAGAGCGGATAATGGAAAAATCGTGCAAATGGTGATACAAACATGAAATTTGGCATGATCATACCCTAGGGGCTACTGGTCAAATCTGCCTGATTGGCCAATTGGAAATCCAAGATGGCGGCCATTTTTCAAGATGGCTGCCAAATTGACCTTCGAAAGATGATTTTTTTATAGAAATTGATGTAGTTGGTCAATCTAAATGATCTTAGTGTCGATATATGTGTTTTCAAGCGTGCTCAGTTGATTTTTCTATTTCTGATACTCTCAGATATATATTTGTCTTATTTATGACTGGTTTTATGTACTGGTTTTATGTTTTTTCCAACTAGGTGAGAGTAGCATGCAGAGGGTCTCTGCATGTGAGGGAGTGATTGTTGGGCACTACCAGGGCACACTGGTGACATCACTGCTGTGCAACCCAGCATGGGGTTCAGTGTCAGCTAAGAAAAAGCATGTCATACTGCAACAGCTTAGTGTCCTAAATGCTGTTTAACCAACCCCAAATCAGTTAAGCAGCCGCACTTGAATTGACAGGATGTGCCAGCGCGGGAGAGCCGAGCCAAGGATAACGGGGTTTTAGTTATCTGGATGGTGTACAGATCGCACGGGACTAATGACACTGGATGAACGATCGGACTAGATGTAGGGCAAAATGCATGTACCTAGTTGTATCCCATACAAGAAAGTGCTCATCAGGGTGGTAAAAGGATAAACCCTCGGCCCTGAAGATCAAAAATAGTTATGGACACAAAATCTACCTACAAATCATTCCTCACTGACTGGGCAAAGTGTTGTCTTTGTCAACAGGATAAGAAGGAAGATCTTAAGTCTCCACATGCAAATCCTGCCAAAAAAGGAGATGACGGTTACAAGAGCTTGGCGAGGTATATTCCTTTATTTCATTCAATCAATGCACTGCCAATCAAGCTTGACCCTCAAGACTTGTTGAAGATGATGGGATAGAGGAGACCTTGAGGAGAAGCAAGGTGCAGTATCATGAGAGTCGCAGACTTCTGTTCAGCAACACAAAGTTAAATAGAGCTCAGAAAAGGCGAACCTCTGCAGTTGCTACAGAGGAGAGCAGCAATAGCAAGATACCACGAATGGTCAGAGACCCCAAAGCAACAGAATGCTTTCTATGTGAAGAAGAAGATTCGGGAGATGACATAAGACATGTAATGACAATGAAACTTAATAAAAGATTGAATGATTGTGCGAAGACACTTAGCGATGGAAAAAACTCCTTTCCAAACTAAGTGCAGGAGATGTTGTGGCACAAGAACTGATGTATCACCCTCGCTGCCTGGCAGACCTGTACAACCGAGAAAGAACACACCGAAATGCTCATAAGCAAGAAGAAGCACAAGAGCTTCATCCGAACAAGGACGCATACCCAACTGCTTTCTCTGAACTGGTCACTTACATCACTCAGATGAAAGCTTCTAGTGAAGGTACTGAACCACCCATTTTCTGACTTGTTGACTTGGTCACACTCTACAGACAGAGACTTGAGCAGCTGGGTGTTGGCTCGCCCGATGTTCATGCTACTCGACTGAAGGACCAGCTGCTTTTTCACATCCCCCAGCTGCAAGCTCATCACCAAGGAAGAGATATCCTACTGGCCTTTGAGAAGGATGTTGGCTCAATCTGGCACAAGCAAGCAAATACGGTGACGCGATCCATCTGGCCAAGGCTGCTGGAATGATACGACGGGAAATGCTTCAGCACAAGTCACACTTCAGCAGTACATTTATGATTTCATGAAGGATGCATTGAACAGTTGCTGATGCTGACCTGCAGAAGCTGGAAAGATTTGTTGTTCTCAT